GTGTGTGTGTGTGTGTGTGTGTGTGTGTGTGTGTGTGTGTGTGTGTGCATGTGTGTGTGGGAGTGCGGGAGAGATAGAATGGCCGCAGGGCCATTCGGGTCTTTAGAACCTTTTCCTCAGGAAAGCTGTTTCCTATCACGTGGGATCTGAGAAGCCAAAGTAACCTGACTCACTTGGCCTGGGCCTTGCGGAACTCCTGCCTTGCCTCCCTCTGCCATCCATTGTCACTGAGGTTCTTGGCTAAGACAGGAAGCAGAATGGAGGCAGAGGGCGTGCTGTGCTCCCAAGTCTGTGGAGATATGTGAGCCCCCAGCGGCCACTGTTCTTGGGTCTGCCTGCTGAATCTCTGGATCTTTAGAGGGGACAGAACCTGCAACAGTGTTCGGGCCTGCTGTGCAGGAGGAGGAGGGTAACAGGAGACCACTGCAGTAAGGAGCTGACTGCTATCTCTCATCTCAGCATCTCTATCACAGAGGGTGTTGGAACAGGCAGGTGCTCTATCTCCCTCTCTGTCCCAGGCGCTATTGTCAAGAGGGCCTCACCTCATAGACAGCTAGGTCGATGCCAGCATAGGGGATGATCCCCAGCATGTTGGGGATGTAGCCTTTGTAGAAGGCAGCTACACCCTCTTTAGCCAAGATCCTCCTGGCACAGTCCAACATGCCTGAGTACTGGCCTGTTTTCCGCAGGGCCATTCGGGTCTTTAGAACCTACAATGAGAGTATCAAGAAGCATGAACACAGCCTATTCCTCTTTGTGTCCCGTGCGTATTGCCCACTCCAGGATTGGTGGCCCTTACCTCCATTGGGTAGATACTACTCTGGGCAATGGCCCCGGCCAAGGAGCCTGCCACAAGCCTTTCGTGGATCCTCAGCGTCTCCTGATCACTACCAACAAGGCGTTTCATCTAAAATAGGAGAAAAACAAAGAGATGCATCCTGGGCCACAGCACTTCTGGCCCCACCCTTCCTCTTACAGCTACTACCTATGCTGTCCCTAAATGGAAGGGGGTAGTAAGAGAGCTGGGGTCATGCCCAGGCCATTGATCTTGTGTCCTTCGGGTACAAACACTGGCTCTAGTTTCAGGGACCTCAGACCGTAAGGAGCTGCCAGCTGGCACCCCTCCCAAGTGCTCACCTGCTCATACGCCATGAATTTGATGGCCGACTCAGGGGCAATTTTGAGGACATTGATGCCATTGCCGCGCCAGAGTGACTTGGCTCCCCCTTCTCGAATCATCTGTGTGAATCCACCTACGATGCACATGTTGTTGCTGCGGGAGGCATGGACCTGAGGAGGACAAGAGATCAGAGGGACTCAGCAGGGCTGAGGGAAGACTCCACTGTCCGCCCTGGGAGGAGCCTTTTCAGAACACCTCTTCAGAAAGGCTCTTCCCTCTGATCAATTCAATTTAATGTCCTGAGTATTCAGCAGGCATGGCTGGATGTTTTATTATCTTGTTTTATTTTATTTAGTTTTTGTCAGGCTCTCATACTATGTAGTTCAGGCTGGCCTGATTTTCATCCTTCCCGAGTGGTAGGATTTGAGGTATGCCCCACCAACCCAGAGAGGACAGCTCTTAATCTCTTAATCTCTCTCTCTCTCTCTCTCTCTCTCTCTCTCTCTCTCTCTCTCTCT